GAGAGATGATGCTCCATGAATCACCCTCCCTACTGGAGAGAGGATGCTCCCTGAACCACCCACCCTGCTGGGGAGAGGATGCTCCCTGAACCACCCTCCCTGCTGGGGAGAGGATGCTCCCTGAACCACCCTCCCTGCTGGGGAGAGGATGCTCCCTGAACCACCCTCCCTGATGGGGAGTGGATGCTCCCTGAACCACTCTCCCTGCTGGGGAGAAGATACTCCCTGAACCACCCTCCTTTCTGCGGAGAGGATGCTCCCTGAACCACCCTCCCTGCTGGGGAGAGGATGCTCCCTGAACCACCCTCCCTGCTGGGGAGAGGATGCTCCCTGAACCACCCTCTTTGCTGGGGAGAAGATGCTCCCTGAACTACCCTCCCTTCTAGGGAGATGATGCTCCCTGAACCACCCTCCCTGCTGGGGAGAGGATGCTCCCTGAGCCACCCTCCCTGCTGGGGAGAGGATGCTCTCTGAACCACCCTCCCTGCTGGGGAGAGGATGCTCCCTGAGCCACCCTCCCTGCTGGGGAGAGGATGCTCTCTGAACCACCCTCCCTGCTGGGGAGAGGATGCTCTCTGAACCACCCTCCCTGCTGGGAAGAGGATGCTCCCTGAATTACCCTCCCCAATGACCATATATATTTATATATATATATATATATATATTATATATATATATATATTATATATATATTATATATATATATAATATATTATATATATATATATATATATATATAACCAGTCTGGTAAATTGTATTTTTTTTTACTGTTTGAGCACTGATGATGGTACTAAGTGTACTCTATTACACACAAATAACACTCAAGTTGGACAGTTACATTAGTGGTATAAGAACGTGAGAAGTATAAAATACATAATACAGGCTGGTTAAAAGGGTGTGTGTGTGTGTGTGTGTGTGTGTGTGTGTGTGTGTGTGTGTGTGTGTGTGTGTGTGTGTGTGTGTGTGTGTGTATGGAATAAGTAATACACATGGACAAAACTGTTTGGTAATCTTTCAAGACGAGACGTTTCGCCTGCCCAGCAGGCTTCTTTGTCATTATATATCATAGATAACGCGTGGGAGTTGAACTAGTGTTTCCAGCGTCCCAGCCAAGCTGCAGTATTAGGTGTGTGTTGCTCTAGACCACTGTACCACTGACTCTTCATAATTCTTAAAGTGAAGTTGAATGAGCAAGCCAAGACTGACACCTGTGTCATCTGTGTCAGAGTAAGGCAGCTCTCTGTGTCACCTGTGTCAGAGTGAGGTAGATCTCTGTGTTACCTGTGTCAGAGTAAGGCAGCTCTCTGTGTCACCTGTGTCAGAGTGAGGCAGATCTCTGTGTTACCTGTGTCAGAGTGAGGCAGCTCCTTGTGTCACCTGTGTCAGAGTGAGGCAGCTCTCTGTGTCACCTGTGTCAGAGTGAGGCAGCTCTCTGTGTCACCTGTGTCAGAGTGAGGCAGCTCTCTGTGTCACCTGTGTCAGAGTGAGGCACCTCTCTGTGTCACCTGTGTCAGAGTGAGGCAGCTCTCTGTGCCACCTGTGTCAGAGTGAGGCAGCTCTCTGTGCCACCTGTGTCAGAGTGAGGCAGCTCTCTGTGCCACCTGTGTCAGAGTGAGGCAGCTCTCTGTGCCACCTGTGTCAGAGTGAGGCAGCTCTCTGTGCCACCTGTGTCAGAGTGAGGCAGCTCTCTGTGTCACCTGTGTCAGAGTGAGGCAGCTCTCTGTGTCACCTGTGTCAGAGTGAGACAGCTCTCTGTGTCACCTGTGTCAGAGTGAGGCAGCTCTCTGTTCCACCTGTGTCAGAGTAAGGCAGCTCTCTGTGCCACCTGTGTCAGAGTAAGGCAGCTCTCTGTGCCACCTGTGTCAGAGTGAGGCAGCTCTCTGTGTCACCGGAGATGAGGAAACAGACATGCTTGTGCTCATACAAGAACTTTCTTGATACTCTTGACCCAGATACCTGGAGTTACCTGTTCCTCCCTCTGATAATACTTAGATTCTCCCCACACTTGCCAGGTGCAGTTTAAACCGCCTCCGGGTTTAGCGATTCCTTCACGATTAATATTATAACGAAAACTGGAGAAAAGGGAAAAAACACAACAAATTGGTTTTATATATACATTTAATGTTTTGTTTCTGGTTTATCTACAAATGTATAAATTTAACCTAGAAATAATCCAACATTTTAACAAGCAGAGTGACGTACGGGAGATGAAGTAGACACAGCAGAGAGGCTGGATGTACACACACACACACACACACACACACACACACACACACACACACACATCGGGGCCAGGAGCTGTGTCTCGACCCCTGCAACCACAAAGTACACACACACACACACACACACACAAAGGCTTGACAACAATAATGACTACTGAAGAATGGTATTGGATGCACCGTGTACTGGTGACTAGTATAAATCACTTTACGTGAGTGGAGATCTGCTAGCTAGGAGAGTGGTGAGCTAGCCCAGGCTCAGGTGAGGCTAGTATCAGGACACAGCCTCTGCGACCTGACCAGGTAGGGGTCACAGACCTGTCAGGTCACTTCTACAGATGTCTCCATCTCACTTTTCTCGTTGCCTGACTATATAAATCCTCCGGTTCATCTGTACTCAACAGTACATTAGTAATCAGGTCTTGTACTTGTCTTGTGAAAACCAGACAGAGAGTCGAGCCTCGACCACTCACATGAAATAACCCATACAGGTTTAGTGCTACGAATAAACATATCCCCTTGCTTGACCTCAACTCTCTAAAAATGACCCAAACTGGTCAAAAGTGCTCACAAGATTTTATTTTTTTTATTGCTGACACAAATTAACATATATGTGGAAATATTTCATAAATGTCCTGGTGGACTAACGTTGATCCTAATCTATAAATAAATTGTAATGTTTTTGGTTTAACAACTTATAGATCCAGCCTCCTGTTGGTGCCTGTTTGAAGTTGCTTGTTAGTGTCTATCATGACTCACTGCCACACTGAGTGACGTCATCACTCACCATTACAAGTGGAAAATTTTGTGAGGGAAAAAAAGTATTTACATAGAGATCATTATTATTATAGATACAAGGGATGATCGACCTTATGCTATGACTTCTCGCGTGTAGAAAACATAGGATACAAGTCTACTTATACACAACCATCCTGGGTAAAGTATTCTTTATCAGACTAAGTTGGGGTAGAGGATGTGGACTGTCTGGTAGTTTATAGTGCCTGAGAGGGCACTATAGTGCCTGTGAGGGTACTATAGTGCCTGTGAGGGTACTATAGTGCCTGTGAGGGCACTATAGTGCCTGTGAGGGTACTATAGTGCCTGTGAGGGCACTATAGTACCTGTGAGGGCACTATAGTGCCTGTGAGGGTACTATAGTGCCTGTGAGGGCACTATAGTGCCTGTGAGGGCACTATAGTGCCTGTGAGGGTATTATAGTCTCTGTGAGGGTACTATAGTGCCT